TGGTAGTTGAACATCACAACATTTTAATTGAGCATCAAACCTCCGATATTGAGATGAAAATCACAATTTCTGGTGAATAAGTATTAATGAACTGTTAATGAGCATCGGACCTATTAAGTTGAGTATTAGGAGTCTAATATTCAGAATCATGATCTTTGCTTCATAACTTCTAATTCACTTTCTTTTTGTTATTTTTTCTTTCATAAAAACTTATTAAATTATATTTATAATCAACTCCTATGAATTTTAATATGTGAACCTAATGCAAAATAGAATAGTACTTTTAAAAAATGCAATTGATATGACATTTTGAAAATGAGTATAAGATGAGTACTAGATGAGCGTAGTAACTTACAAAATGTGTATTCATATGAAGATCGTAAGATTTGTTAGTTGAATATCACGACATTTTCATTGAGCATCAAACCTCCTCTATTGAGATCAATGAGCATTAATGAATTTTTAATGAGCACCAGACCTATACAAATGAGCATATGTAACTTACAAGATGATCTTTGATATGAAAATTGTAAGTTTTGTTTATTGAACATCCAGACATTTTTAGTGAGCATCGAACATCCGTTATTTAGTATTAGAATCGTGCAATCGAGTATCATGATCTGTGGTCTCGTGTCTATATTTAAATTCTATGTGAATCTAATGTAATATGAGACTTTTGAAATATGCATTTGATGTGACATTTTAAAAATGAGTATCAGTTGACCATATATAACTTACAAAATGAACATTGATATAAAAATTAAGTTTTTTTGTTGGCATCAAGGTATTCTCATTGAGCATTAAGCCTCTTCTATTGAGTATTAGAAATATGCATTCAATTGAGTATCATGGTTTGTGCTCTAGTATCTATAATCAACCCCTACGTAAATCTTATTTAATATGATACTTTTGAAGTATGCATTGATAAACATTAAAAATGAGCATAACACCAGTACCACATGAGCTTACGTAACTTATCAAATGAGCAATGATGTGAAAATCATAATTTTGTTAGTTGAACATCAAGACATTTTCATTGAACATCAAACATCTTTATAGAGTATCAGAATCATGCAATTGGGCATCATGATCTCTGCTCCCATGCACATTTAATATCATACTTTTATAAATATCATTAATATGACATTTTACAACGAGTATAAAACGAGTATCAGATGAGCATATATAACTTACAAAATGAGAATCGAAAAATACAAAAGCTCGTTTGAATTCGCTAACGTGTTTAAATGTTCATGTGTGCACATGTATTATAATGACAAATATAGTAATTTTATATTAAAAATAATTCAAAGTCATTCTTTCTGGAATTACAAATATCATCAGATTGTTTTTATAATGTTTACTCATGCATATGTATTTTACACTATACTCATTTTAGCATAACACAAAACTCATATTCTTAATTATCACATAATATTTGATAAACTAATAAATACTCATATTAAACTAAAATTGAAAAATAAAACTGGCCGGCTAAACAATACCTTGAATACCTAAAGACAAAGCACTGGTAATACCTTGAATATTCATCATAAATTAAGAATAATACGTAAAGACAAAGCTGGCTGGCTAAATTAAAAACAATGAAAAGGAGGTTAAGCAAAAAGGAAAAAAAAATCTACTTAAAAGCCATAAGCACGGAAAAATAAGGTCAAAGTTGGCAGGCTAAACAGAGCATTGGCACTCCAGGCACGCATGAAGAAAACGGACGATAGAAGAATTGTGCCATACGAATCATAAAAGAATTACAAATACACCCGGATGTACAGTGAGAACCGTAACTGTACGGTTCTCACTGCACATATCATTGTACGTTTCATCTATAGACATTGTATTGTCTATAATTCACAAATAGACAAAGTATGTACAATATCATTGTACAATTTAGGCAGCAAATAGACAAATAGACATATCATTTGCGTCTATCATTGTTCGCAAATAGACATTGCGAACTGTAACTGTACGGTTCTCATACAGACATTGCGAACTGATTGACATTGCGTCTATCATAATATTTGCGAACTATAGACAATAGACAGTTAGACACACAAGTAAGGGCTTTGTACAACGATACACTGTCTTTGTGTAGCAAATAGACAATGTGTACAATTTAGGCAGCAAATAGATAAATTGTGCATCATTGTGGATACATATCCATGTGTTGCAATTGTCTTTATGTAGTTTCTTCCTTTCTTTAGGCCCTGGAGCTTTTTGTACCTCCAGTATTAGTTTGTAAGCCATCCCTGTAGTGGTCCATAATCCTGCAAATAATTTCACATAGCAAAAATGAATATGAAACACAAACCCAAATTCATAGCAAATCATAGGTATTAAATATTACAAACCCATAGCTTCAAGTTTAGCAAAAAAAAAAGAATTAAGTGATAGTTTTCAAAAAACAAAACAGTTTTGAAGCAAAATATTAAAATCATTCATTAATAAGACTCTGCAGCAAAATATTGTAATGGGTTTGTCCAGTTTCATCTTCCATGCATATTCCTTCTCTTGCTTAATTTTGATCTTCCTCCTTTTGTTGTTAATGTTAGTTGAAAACTGGTCGAGTAGGTTCCTCTTGAGTTGTTCATTCCTTTCAATGATCACACCTTTCCTCTTAGCTGATGCAGGGGTTATTCCTTCTTCCACAACCAATAGCTTTTCCTGGTCAATGAAATCAATTTAATCATTGATTAGTTAATTCTATGTATTTCAAAACGTCTCAAATCGCAACCATATTAGATTAGGTACCTTCGACTCCAAAACACTTTCACTTTTGTCCTGAACGTGTGTAGGTGTAACACCTTCCTCATCATCAATTACTACAGCCTGAATAAAAAAATCAATACATTAGTTAATACTAAATATTTTAATCTACTAATGTCTACGTAAATAAGATCCTTTACCTTCTTTAGAGGACATCCATCTTGTTTTTTACTGCAGGCAGTTGCATCTTCAATTCCAAATCGTTTGTTGTAGATCCACTTTATCATCATATAAACTTCTCATTAAGTGTTTCAAACAACAAACGCAAATTGAACTTCAAAAAAACAGGATACCTTTTCAACTTCAGTTAAATCCTCAAATCCTTGTTCATGTTCTATTGTTTTAGCATAGAGTTCCAAGATTGTTGGATCTCTTATCATTGTGATAACCCCGTACGACACTGGTCCTCTATAGGAACTTTTTGCCCTTGTTTTGACTTGCATTTTAAAGAGTACTCTTTGGTCTATTAGTGCTTCAATGTCCTCCAAAAGTGTGTTGCATCTTCCATTTCTGAAATATTGTCAACGAAGTTCATTTTAATGTGTTTTTGTAACTATACAAAATTTGTAAAATGACCAATGTTGTGTGTGCAATTCAAACCTTTTCTACTTCCTTTGTCAAAGCAACTGCTGTTTTTCCAACTACTTCGATGCATTCCCTATCCCAGAGGGTAAATGTTGAGTGTCCCGAGTCATCCATTACACAAACTCATTTAAAGAGTGATGGTCCCAAGTGAGGCAAAAGTTTAGAGGTGGAGTGGGTAGACTTTTAAATCTTTTCATTTTTCAACCCTTTTTCCTCTGTCAGAATGAATTCCAATATCTTTTGGGAGATATTGAAACGTGCAGCGGAAGTCTTGACCTCGAGAGTGTGACCCTTTATAGTAACAAAAGTTATGACCCTTTTTAATTGTATAAGAAATGGATTAAACATGATACACATGTATTTGCCAAAATCTGCTGTCTTAAGGAGCATGCTGTCGAAACTCGGAGGAGTAAGCTGCCAAAAAAATTTGGAGCTGACCACTTAACCTTTAGGAGCAGGCTACCGAATGAGGCTACTGGATCAATGTTTTGGGACACAGAAGTGAACTATGACCTTTGACATTGTTTTGACCTTTTTGAGCAGACTAAACACATAGGTATGAAGGAGTTGGACCTATAAAGATAGATCACTTTGATGCATAGAAACAAGGAGTTTCATTCACAGAAAACTAGATTGGTTTCTGGATAGTGAAATGAGCAAGTTGTTTATCTGGGAAGTTGTGAAAGTGAGTGAGAACTATATTGTGTATTGGGAGCTGAATATAAAAGGTGGCACAAGATATATCCTAGTTCAGAAGTGGTGTAATCCTCCTACATCCAATCTCAACCTATTTCAAATGGATTTCCACTAAATGAATATCTCATTACATTTAGTGCCCAATTTATTTTTGGCCCAGACATAGATTGTGAGGTTTTTCACGTGGAATTTGAACATCATTCCAAGCTACCCAGTCCTTCAAGGGTTTTCACTAATGGAATTGACTTTACAAAAGTTACTCATGTCCTTATCCTTCTCTCACCTTCTGCATTTGAACACTCGTCTAGTGTACATGGGTACAAACTAAACTATCAACTAATCTAAGCTCTAAAGATGTGTATGCATTTGAGGTAGTCTAATAGCTATAGATGAGTGGAGTGGAAAGCAAAATGGTGAAGGAGAATCAACACTTGTTTGCTGAATGTATCGAATGATCCTTGACTCCCTTCTTTTCCACTTGGCTCACACACTGGTTCTACCCGCACTCCTTCTGTATTTATAGACTTGTTGTTGAAGCTCGACCGTTGGCCGAAGAGTTCAATATTGGCCGTTGCTTTGAATCCATTTGCTTTGTTCCACTTGAGTGAAGAGAGCATTGGTTGGTCTTTGTCTTCTTTGTGACACGGGCTGATTTTCACTTCAACTTGCTTTCCTCATTTCAATGTAAAGATAAAGTGAGAGAACTGTCAAATAGAAATCATAATGTGATGTATACCTTTCGTACATTCGTTTGTCTCACACACATAAAATTGTCTATCCACAGACAACTCTGTAGAGTCATCTGTGAATAGACAACTTTGTTTGTATTAGACAGGCAAATATAAAAAGTGTACACAACAAAAATATGTACACCAACCATTTTTCAAAACCAAAACAAGTATGGGTGGTTTTGGTTTTTTACCTTTTATTTTGATTCCTTGTTGAGTTTCTCCCGGACACCGTCCTAAGCCAAACTGACGAGAAATGTGCACCCGGTCGGGGCTGCCGCGCTCACCCAATTACAAGACTCTCATCATCTCATGCCCACATTCTCAACAGTCAACACCATCCTTTCCGGCGACGCCCATCTCGCCAACAAGCGCCGCTCCCTCTACGCCCACCACCACAGCTTTGGTTTAGTCGCGGTCTTCTTCAGGTTGGCCATCTTCTTTATTACAGGCTCGGCATCCTCTTTTAATCTTCGTTCAGATTATATTGTAGTGTAGACTGTTAATTTGTAATCACTTAACATATACGAAGTATGATTTTTTAGATAGTTTGATGTTCAATCTACATTTGTGTTTCCACTTTAAGATTCTTATGTTGAATTTACATTTTTTATTCTTGACCATTTTTCCTTTGAATTTACCTATCATGCATGATCCTTGGTTATTTGGGAATTGAGTATGCATTTTTTCTTTCTTATTTCAGATTGCATGTTTTTAATTGGACTGTACATTCTTGATCTCGTCTGGTCTATTTAAGTCTAATCAAGTTGGATAGATGTGTGTTTTAGGTGTATTTTACAACTGTCTCTCTGGTCTGGTATGTTTTAAGTCTGGCCTGTGGAGGTCTGGGAATGAAATCACTCTAATTAAAGACGTCTGAATACCTTATCATTCTTATTTCAGATTCTTTTATTAAATTAGATTTGCTCTGAATACCTGATTGTTGGTTTTTATTTAGATTTATTTTTTTTCCTTTCTCAGTTCAGATTATTGTGTTATACGATAGTATCAGTTTTACTTTTTCATCTGATTGTTGGGTTAACTTCATATTGAATCTACTTTTTTATTGCTTTCAACTTCTGATTCTAAGGTTAGTTTGAGGTTGAGTTTAGTTTTCATACTGCAGATTTCTCTTTTATTATCTAGCATGCATTTTCCTTTGATTTCTGTGGCTTTAGATTCCACTTTTCTAACTGTTTTTCTTTGATTATCCAAGACACATTGGTGGTTAGATTCATACACAAGCGGTGGTGCCTAGCATAGTCTAGGGTTTTTCTAGTTGAATGGTGGTGCTCCTTGCGGCGTTCGTTTCAAGGTTTCAGCTTCAACTTGTACTAATCAAATAATGTGGGAGGCGTATGCCTCATTAGGGTTGCTCTCAACAATCGATTGGCGATTGCCTGAGCCAAATAGAAATACGATTTAGAAGCTTCAGAGACGATTAATCGGCGGGAGCAGGGTGGCAAGGATGGCAAATCACCGTACAGTGCAAAGGCAGGAGCAGGGTGCCAAGGATATGAAGCTATTAACCATGAGTTTGGATGACGAGATGAACAAGGAAGATGAAGTTTTGACGGCCCGTCCCCTTCCTGAACGGCCCCTTGGAGTGGCCATGTGGCTAGAGTTCAGAAGACGACGCTTCAAGGTTGGATTGGGACATCTTTAGTTTCTTGTTCTGTTTTTATTTCATGTTTTTTTTCCTTTAGACCTTTTACCGTGGTTTTGGTTTGATTGTGTTAGTGATGTTCTTGAGATGTTTAAGGTCGTTATTTGTTTCGAAGCTCCCGTATGTTCAGTGAAAAGTTTCACTCTGTTTTGGGTGAACTTTTCCATGACTGATAATGGACTGAAGAGACTTTTTGGCTATTTTGATATTTTTGAAGTGGGAAAGAGTACACTGACCTTAAGGGTAAAAAAGAACTCTATGTTGCCTGTTTGATAGGCAGCGATTCGTGCTGCCTCTTTGGAGGTAGCCGTTTCAAAATTTGATCATAGGACATGTCTTGAGTCTAGATGAAGTCTATTGGAGGAATGTTGGTGCAGTTTTGAGCTTTTGGCCGGTTACTGCAAACACTTGTTTACATTATTGTTTGGCGATTTCCTTTAAAAAACTATCTTTCTTTGTTCAGGTAAGTGAAGAAACTTCAAATGATTGAGCTAAACAGGATGACAGGTACATCCTAATGACCAGATAAACTTCAAAACTATTTTTGCTGTTACAACTTTTTGTTATTATATACAGTACTTTCTTTGGTTTGATTGATGTGATAGTTTCAATGGTTGGTACTTCGTTTATTATCCAGGTAACTAATTTTCTTAGTCAAAGAGGCCAAACATGTTATTATTTCAACTTGGTGAGCGTTGATTTAACTTCATAGGATTTAACTCGGTGAGTGTTTTAGTTTTTCTAATCTTTCTTCTCTTTTTGGCTCTGATATCATGGACCGATTCATGTTTGCTGACTCCAAAATCTTTTGGGAGTAAGGCTTGAATGTTGTTGTTGTTGAGTGTTTTAGTTTTGGACGGTCAACAATATTCACTTAGTCACATCACATGACATGAATTGAAATATTCATGGATCGATTCATGTTAACCAACCCCAAAATAAGGCTTGGATGTTGTTGTTGCGTGTTTCAGTTTTGGTGGGAATTTGAGGTATTTTTGATAAAATGAATGGACTTTTAAACTTCTCTCTGTTTCCATTTCTCGTTTTGGATAAATGTTCTCTTTTGTAATTAATAGTACAACAGCACAGCTGATTTTTTTTTGTTTTAATGGTACAGTGGATTTTAATTGCTAAAATCTTTATTTTCAATTGATGTTCCTTTCCATTTGACACTTTGTTTTGGTACAGGGTGAATTTATTTGTAGAAGTTTGTTATAGTTTTTAAGTATCCTTTTAAATCTCCTTTGAGTCTTTTTATTCGTTGCATCATATGCTCTGGCAATTTTATAGTTTGATAATTGGGATATTGTACCTAAGGCTGAAAGTGGTGTTTGCTAATGAAATGATGATGGTGATGTTGATGATGGCTACAGGCAGCTGAAGACTCAATTTGGATGCACATGGCATTCTAAAGGAGGAATGCCTGAACTATCTGACAGCTGGGATGAACAGAAAACTGGCAACATGCATGTTTGTTCAGACTTGTGATATTACTTATAGCTGCATCAGTGCAGTGCATCACTTGTGGTTGTGGTTTCATGTAAGTTTAATTAGTTTAATGATCAGAATGAGTTTAATCACTTTAATGTAATTCTTTGTTATTTTCATCTTCGATTTTAATGATCACAATGTGCTCAGCTTCTCCGTCAATAAAGAGCCATAACAGAGGCTTGAGTCGCTTGACCACAAACATTTATTTCCTTTTACCTTCTATTTTAGTTGTCTTTGTCAGCAACTGGTGAAATTTTGCAGAGGAGATTGAGTTTTTTTATCATGTTGCCGACCCTACTGGTGCTCACAATAAAGGACGAGAGAAGATGGAGATTATACGGTTGGTGAGGATACCCTTGTAACTGCATAGGTGAGGTAAATTGTCAGATCGAGAGAAGTGCCTTTGATTGCCAAGAAACTAGATGAGTTTTAGTTGGCTGTGTTTTTTATTTTTTCTATCTTTCCAGAGATTAAGGGACACTTTTTTTGTGTTATCTTTGACACTTTTACTTGGATTATACCTAAACTTGGAAGCTTAGTAGCTTACTAAGTTTCACTTTCTCCTGTTTAAGATATTTTCTTTCTTCTTACTATAACCTGCTCCATTGACCAACTTTCTCTATATTTTAACAGAATGTTTTGGTAAAATTATATGGTTCTGATAAGTTCTTCTATAATAAATAAAATGACATAATCTTGATGATTTTGTGGCATTTCTTATTTAGAAGTTTGTGGCTGATGAAAGATTAGTCTTGCAGAGGGATATGCTTGCACTATTATGAAGAGCGGAGTAGGTCAGATAAACCAATGATACATTATTAGCTCCTTTTTATGTAACTTTTTTGGTTCCATTTCAATGTTATCGTTTATTAAATGAGAAATCAATCTAGTATGGAAAAAGACTATAAATAGAAGATATGAAAGAGCTATGTGTGTTTTAACTTTTTACCAACTTTTGTCTAAGAATTACTAATGAACCCACCAGTTTTGTCAACTCTTAGGGATATCAAATACTAATAAGCCCTTTGGAATTGAAAAATAGATTGTTTATGGCCCGTGGCCGTTTTCTTTTACTAATTCTGACGTATTATAGGAATCTATTATGATGATGGGACTTACGAAGCTGATGTTCATTTGGATCTTAAGAATTTACTAGGCATTTATTGCAATGGATTTGTTCTTTTATTTCTCATACATTGATTTACTTGTTTTATATATTTTCTAAATTAAAGTTGCTTGAGTTTCATTGTTTACTGAAAATTATTACTTTTTACTGAATATTTTGTCAAATTCCACATCATGTAAGATTAGAAGTACAAATTAATAGGCTAATATAATTAGGAATCTACCTAATAGATATTTAGGAATCTGCCTAATATCTATTTAGGAATACTTTGTATTTTGGCAACTCTTCTATTATAAATATATCTGTCAGGACTCCTATTGGAGTACCTCTTTCCCATTATTTCACATGGTATCAGAGCTTAGGTTTTTAGATACAGTTTTTTTCTTCTTTTTTTCGGTTCCCATGAACCTTATTATAGCCGCCGCCGCCGCCTCGGGGTCGACTACCGCCACATTTACGGTAGTCTCTGATCCTTTGAAAATGAGCGCGGCTAATATGGCGCAAATCACCTCCTTCGCGTCGCTGAACACGGTGCTTGCTTCTAGCGTGCCGTTGAGTTCGCCGCCTGCTGCTGCCTATGTCCGCGCAGCCCACCTTCTCTGTGTCGCTGACCACGGTGCTTGCTTCAAGCGCGCTGTAGATACAATTTTTTTTTCTTTTTTTCGGTTCCCATGAACCTTATTATAGCCGCCGCCGCCTCGGGGTCGACTACCGCCACATTTACGGTAGTCTCTGATCCTTTGAAGATGAGCGCGGCTAATATGGCGCAGATCACCTCCTTCGCGTCGCTGAACACGGTGTTTGCTTCTAACGTGCCGTTGAGTTCGCCGCCTGCTGCTGCCTATGTCCGCGCAGCCCACCTTCTCTGCGTCGCTGACCACGGTGCTTGCTTCAAGCGCGCTGTTGAGTTTGCCGCTGGCTGCTGCAGACATATATTCTCATGGAGATCTTATTGTCAAAGATGTGCCTTCTAATCTTCCGCTCACAGATATATTTACCAAGAGTTTTTTTAGTTTGCAATTTCATTTTTTTAAAAGACAACCTGCGAGTTGTATCTCCCGCACAGTTTGAGGGGGTGTAATAGGCTAATATAATTAGGAATCTACCTAATAGATATTTAGGAATCTGCCTAATATCTATTTAGGAATACTTTGTATTTTGGCAACTCTTCTATTATAAATATATCTGTCAGGACTCCTATTGGAGTACCTCTTTCCCATTATTTCACACAAATGTCTTTGAAACACTATGCAACATTTGATACAAGCACACATGCTGTTCCTGGGTTTAGACATTTAGTAAAACTAGTATTATACCCGTGCGATGCACGGGACATTTTTTCTTTTTGCATTTGCAGCATGTTTTAAAATAAAATGTTAACGTGAATTATATTTACCTTGGTGGGAAATTGAAACATATACATGCTACAACAACATTTATATCATAGATCGACTATAAAATTTCATTATATTAGTTTTACTTAGCTTATTAGCATTTCTTATTGTTGACGTTTAGTAATTTTTTTAACCAGGGGGCGTCGGGGGAGGGGGTTTGGGGGGCCTGGGGTAAACTGGTATCAATCTCACTCCATTGAAAATTGAACCCGGACCTCCCATAAAGGAGAGTGAGTTGGTGATCAGCTGGGCTAGACCGCTTCCTCATTGCCGCTTCCTTAGGGGCAGATCTACCTTTTCGTGAGTGAATGCTCCCAATAAGTTTTTGATAATAGGACCTGAATAATATAGAATTTTTTCAAATTTATTTTTAAAATAGTTTGTCTTCATTAATTTTTTCTCATTCTCCTATTGGATATTTGTGAGGTGTTAAATCATATGCATGGCTAAAAGTGCATTTGTTTATCTAAAATAGATCTAATTGTACAAAGTTAAAATGATCTAGATTTTTATTTAAAGCATTTCTAAACTAACCTCACATACTATTTAAATTAAGTAAATACTACCTCGCCTATACAATACAATTATATACTTGCACACACAAACACATAGTTTTAGATGATTGTGTCTATGCTAGGATTAGCTAACATGTGTGTTATTTATTTCAATTAAGTCGTGGTTATGTTCAAGTTGGTGGGTCTTTTGCATATAACTAAACCAATAGTACGTACGTGGGAGTAGCGGTTATGCATAATTGATGATCTATGCAGTTTTATGTTGAAGACGTAGTGCATGATGAATTAAAATCGAATAAAAGAGTTATAACTCACCGAGGACGGCAGGTCGACTGCAGGTATCCACAGAGGAATGTTGAGGAACCACTGCAGGTAACCACCACTCATAGAGGGCGGCAGCGGTGGTACGGTTAAGGAAGCGATGAAGTCAACAATGTATGCGGTGGCGGAGTTACACTGGAGTACCGGACTGTAGGAGATTTGTGTTCGGTTGTGAATGGGCAATGGCGGCTTCGTAATGTCGATCATCAAACCCGAATTCGATTCGTCGAAAGCGGCGGCGGACCCGTTCGGCTGCTTACTCCCCAATCTGCGAGTGTGCAAGTTCCACTGCCTGGTGATTTCAGATGGACCCATTGGCGAAATAGTATCTGGGGCAGTCATCGGAGCCGGCAGCGACCGTTCCTCGCAAAATCGCGTCCTTCATCTGAACCGTCGTCGCCTGGAAATTACCCAGCGCTTTCTTCCTTACAGTGGCAATCCTTCTACTTCGATCGGTAATTCCCGGCCACCATTCGTCAGCCCACTTTTTAGATCACCCACCCCCAGAACTGCCTCACCTGATCCGGGACGCTGCAACCCAGAATCACTTTCCGACCTCTGCTTCCCAATTCAAGCAATATCTCTGACGACAGAGTATTGAATATCCGGTAAACGGCGGAGATTTGGCCCATAAAATTGGGCTTGCCGCACCAGAGTTTCTGGTTTCCCCAGTTCAAACGTAACCACTGGGAGGCGTGAAATTATGAAGCGGCAGATTCGATCTTTGTTTGGGTAACTTCGGATTTGGGAATGAATTCGCCGGGAGCCTCTTAACCGACATGATGTATCCGTTTTCAAATTAATACAGGCGTCTCTTGAAATTTATAATTGATGACATCATCATGACAACTAAGTGACGTAAGCACATACAGTTATGCTTTGGTTTCCCTTTTTATATTAGTATAGATTATTAGTGTAAAAACAATGTTTTATCAAGCAACAACTCCCAGAGAATCATACTAGGATGTAAGAATCACTCTCACAAGAACTGTATTTGCAGGATTGTTTAAGAATAGCTCTCACAATTGTAGTACAGTTTAGGTTGTTTAAGCAAATAGAAGTGAATAACTTTCGAAAAGAAAGTCCTTTTATGGGGACGATTTTATTGTCTTCCCAATCATGTTTGTTGTTTGTTTGATGCGTCAAGTTGTTGGAGTTTATGTCTAAATATATAGATTGGGGTAACCTTTAAGCACATGAGTGCTGCAACTGAGTGTGCCTTTTAATGGTATATGATAATCAAAGTTTTGAGACTAATAGAGTTGGTATGCACGCACCCACCCCTATCCTTGAGTCAATTGTATCTCTAATTAACTTATTAACTTATCCCAAACATTTCTGAATTCTTTTCAGGAATTTGAGGCAGTTAATCTAGCATTGGTGGAGCTATGCCTATACTCAATCAAGGAGCATCCAGCGCAGGTCATCATCATCATTACCCCAGTGAAAATCAGGTCGAAAATTGCATGGACTGACTGCTGCTTCATAACAAAGAAGTTCATGTGTTGTATCAAAATGATAGGGACCTACCTATTATACTAATAATTAGAAGTAATAATAATAATAACATTAGTAATAGGGGTCTCTATTATAAATAGAGGGGTAGGGGAAACAGTAAGGAGGCTTTTGGGACTGTTTAGTCTTGGGACTGGGAAGATCGAGTGTTTGCTCTTTCTTTGGGGGGCTTCGGCTCAGTTTGGGGGCTTCGGCCTTTGTACTTGTTACTGTTCATCATCTCCTTCAATAAAGATTTCTCTTGTTTCTTGATATTAGCTTCTGTAATCTCTGAATAATTAGAGGTCTCTAACATTGGTATCAGAGCACTCGCTCCCGGAGTCTTAATCGATCGTCACATCTTTATCGCGGAAGAGGAAAATTGATTGTCGCGATGTTGAGACATGAACGAACCAAGAGGATCGCTGAGCGGACCAGAGCACAATGACGATCAGGACGGGACGCCTTTGGTTCGCACGGACTTCTGGAGAAGCGTTCGAACCGAGAGAAGCGTTCGAACCTGGAGAGGAGGACGGCTTTGGCAAACCTAGCGACCACGCTGACTCAACAGATTCAGAGCACCACTGCGGCAATTATGGCAGACATCGCAGCATCTAGAGCTGCGATGAAGGAAGAAGTTCGCAGATATCGCGAATCAAAAGATTGGCCTACTGCGTATCCCAGTTTGTCGCCAAATGTGCAGGTTTTTTCTCCTCATCCATTGACAACGCAAGCCAGTTTTCCCAGATCGCAATCGATAACTGATCATCATCCTGGAACATCATTGGAAGGGATTTCTAGTAGCTCGCAGATGGCCTCTCAAGCCGCGTCTCACAGCGCACTAACTTCATCACCAGCAGATTATCACCTTCAGTAAACTTCTCTGCATTTTCTCCGAATCTAGAAGCACTCCTATCATCAGCTGAAGAAGGTTGCCGCAGGTTAACATACTCATATTTTGTCATCCGCAATTTTGAGTCAGAAACCACTTGCTTCTCGAATTCACAACCCGCATTTTTGTCATCAACAAACTCATATTCCAGGGCAGTCGCGGATTGAGTCACCACATAAGTTTTTTCTTCTCGTCCTTCATCATCATTGCTGCAGGTATCTTCATTGACAGGTTGTGGCTAATTAAGGAATTCCAAACCGAGCTGTGAAGCTTGCGAAGTGAGAGAAATTGTCAGCTGTGGCTGGACTTGAAATTGGCGCAACTGCAGTTCCTGTTTCTCTTGGATGCTCAGCTTCTGATGCTTCTAAGGGTTCTATGGAATTCTTCAACCCGGTTATTGGTAGAGTTCTTGAACTTGGATTAAGTGTTCTAACGGATATTAGGTACCCTGGTTTACTACACAATAGACTGGGATGTCTGAATAAGATGGATGGTTTCAGATTTGATGATGTTTATCAACACAAGAAATCTATATTGGAGCAGTACCATGATCTTGCAAAGAGTGTACATAGATCTCCTATTGTGCAGAATGGTTTACTTAACAAAGTTATAAATCTTGTTGAAGCACCTATGCCAGTACTGGAAAGAGTTAAGAACACCTTCGTAAAGTTTCCTAAAGCATTACTAATAATGGTCAGGCAGAATCACCAGAATTACTTTGCAGTGACTAATGAGAATGGGGATTAGCTGCCAAACTTCATTACTGTTGATGGAGGGATTAATGAAATGACAGGGATAGAAGGAAATAAAGCTGTAATCAGAATGGGAATCCACAGAATTGGGACTGACGCAGATAGTGTTGAAGGAGTTGACTCTGAATTCGCAGGCACTAAATGTTGCTTAGTTTCAGTGTTGTATCACACTGGCAAAGAGGTTCAGGGCATGAACATAAGTTCTGCTAATGGTGTAGGTGAAACACCTCAGGAAGACAAGGAAATATTTGTGGCTATTGAAGGCCTGAAGACCAAGGAAGAAAATGAAAATTCATCAGAGATACTATATGCTGCAGTAACATCTGTGAATTTGAAGAATCAAGTATGGAAGCTATTTTCTCAGAAATCAGTTAGATATTGGGAAGGAAGAGGTTCAAGGAAGAAACAGAAGCAGAAAATGTTGGCTGTCTCCTACCACCCACCTTGAGGGCAAGGTGGATGTTTAGGGAGGGAGTATTGATAGGGACCTACCTATTATACTAATAATTAGAAGTAATAATAATAATAACATTAGTAATAGGGGTCTCTATTATAAATAGAGGGGTAGGGGAAACAGTAAGGAGGCTTTTGGGACTGTTTAGTCTTGGGACTGGGAAGATCGAGTGTTTGCTCTTTCTTTGGGGGGCTTCGGCTCAGTTTGGGGGCTTCGGCCTTTGTACTTGTTACTGTTCATCATCTCCTTCAATAAAGATTTCTATTGTTTCTTGATATTAGCTTCTGTAATCTCTGAATAATTAGAGGTCTCTAACACAAAATTTGCACTCTTTGATTATTCACTTGAGTTCTTTTACCCTTTCTTTGGTTTGAAATTGGGAAGGGGAGGATAGATGGGGAATCGAAGATGTTGTATTAGGCTCAGTGGGAGAGTGCAGAGTATTAATTATTCTTGAAATAATATGAAATTTTATATTTAGGTTGTTTTAAAAGAATCGTATAATTTTTGAAATAAAATATTGGACTCTAACTATTGGGCCAATATAAGATGATGGCTAAGCCCATAGATCCATCCAATGGATTTATCTATGAAAAATAAATTGAATGCCAATGGGGTGCATAATCTCGCATGCATTGAATGCAATCACATTTATTTCTGTTCATAAAGAAATAAACGCAATAGGCACGTTGGCGTGAGTCACGCGAACGTTGGCGTGAGTCACGCGTTAAGCAGTCATCTCCACATGTTGTGTGTCGAATGCGTGTGTGATAGTTTTGTGCACTTTATTTCTATATGTATATAAGATGACTAGATCTCACAACTTCACAGTTCAAAAGCAGCAATTATCAGCATTCAAGAAAACCCAGGACATAACACCAAAACAGATTTAGAGAAGATTTTCTACTTATCATGTAAGTATGTTCATCTTCCTCAATCGTTTTCCATTTGAACTTAGATGTAGGTCTCCATGTTTTTTTAATGTTTTTTACTAACATTGATGTTGATGCATGCCAATGTGAGTCAGGATGACTTAAACTCATTGGTTCAGGTAATAAAAGCTAAAATTCCTGTAATCTATGTTCATTAATAGTTCAATGCATTGCCGCTTTAATTGAATCGTGAGAAGAAACATTTTCAATGTAGCATTCAATAAAATTTTCAAATCTCATGCTTCTCAATTAGCTAAGTTTTTCCTTTCTAAAAGTGAAGCCAGTGTTTTATATCGTTTTTCTTTTATTTTACTCTCAAATGATTATTATGGTGTCAGTTTTTGTCGAAGAGATTTCATTTTTATTGTTTTCTACCTAAACACTTTTATTTCTTATATTTTTCTTTTAAAAAAGGAATCTTAATATACTATGTGTAATAATAAAGCTTGTTTTTCTGGAGGGCGTACAGAGGGCCCTTTGAGCCCTGACTGTTCCAGATTCGATCAAATTATCTTTTTAGATGTATGTTTTTATGTTCTTTTTGCGTGTAAATTTATGTAAGAAGCCTACTCTCCCTATATTTGATCCTATTACCTCGTTGTGCATTTTTAATGAAGGAATTTAGTTGAACTACAGAGGTTCAATTAGTCTATCTTAAATATTGTAAATTTTTCTTTTCATCACATTTGACTTTTTCTAAACATTTTGACTATTTATTTTTTTGTGTGAATTCACTAATTGTAACCACTAACCATCATAATGTGGCACACTCTGAAACCTGATACTAGAGTTATGCACTGTATGTAGGCCTTATTTTGTATTCTGAACCACAAATTGGACCCGAAACAAAATAAGAATTGAATTACAAATCAGTAAATCACAGATCTAGAATATGCTGTTTAGCAACTCAGAATATCCCATGTATTAGTAAAGATAGATCATATCTTTGATGGCAGGATCTCGTTTCCATATCCCAAATTATCGAACATTCAAACAGAGAGCAATCAAGTATTTAGTAAAAAAAATTGTGCAAGCAGAAATTATGACTACGTATTGAGATTTGTAAAGTTTTACTCCATATGTGTTATGTAATAAATGCAAATGCGAACACAACTCCAAACAAATATCTAAACTTGATTTATTGAGTTTAGCCTCTTCTAATGTGATCTCTTTTTTCGTTTCATCTTTTACTCGCTAGACATTTTTCTACTATGATTATTATTATCATCATCATCAATTCATCATCATCATCATCATCATCATCATCATTACCAATATTTGGAAGAAAATGATGGCATTTCTAGGTAAAGGAATGGATAAAGGCTGTTCAGGGAAAAGAGAAGAGAGTGAGAGAGGCAAAGGCATTCTGGTCTATCAGCGGAAGTCGAGAAATAACATGGAGAATCCATCTTTCTTCTCAAGCGCAACAAAATTAATCATGGATCAGCAAGAGCGAGTAGAAGCTGCTCCCCCCACCTCCTCTGCCACAGTATGGGCTGATGCAAATTCCAGCCACCTCTTGACTTGTGCATGCCATTTCTGCCTCACTGAAGCCTCCAACTCAACTCATCCTTCCCGTTCCAACATCCTTGACCTTACCGCCTGTCCTCGTCCTGAACCAGCCGGGACTGGAAACACTCCCAATGTCTCTGCAGCTGCTACTGTGTCATCCTGGGCAAAAGTGCACCCCAGCATACTGATGCCCCCCCCTTCATGGTCTTCCCCGCGCCAAAACCAGTTGCCACCCCTCCCCCACCGCAATGAAATCTCACTGCCGCCGTTGGGGGATATTTCGTTCAGAGAGTTTTTAAATTTTGGCCGTAAGAGAAGAGTTTCTTGCTGTAGGGATATGCTACACAGAGGAGGATTTTCTGATGAGGAGCTGAAAAGGTGGTTGAAGGAGGAACTGTTCATTCGGGATGTGGATGCATATGCCTCTATTATCCGGAGTCCCAACATGGATTTCGAGAAACTCCTCCCCGGATCATCATCAGACAATGAGCATTGTCCATGATATTAGTGTGTCTGTACCTAGACATTACTTCACATATCATTATATGTACCGAATTTATATTTTTGTTTTATCTGCTACTCCAGTACTCCATGATTGTGTGTGTTCTTTATGCGTGTCATATGCATATCCTGATTTCTTTATTTCATCGCTTCAACAGTATCTTAGTTCATTTGGGGATAGCACTAATGTTTCACTAGAACGTAATGACAGCAATTGATTTTTAAATGCTGATTTGTTTTCATAATTGTTCTTGAATTTTCATTTAAACACCATTAATTGGCTTCCAATTTTATAATCATATACTGAGTAGCTTGTAAATTTTAACCATGTTGGAAATCTGGAATAAGATTCTCGGGCAATCTAATTTACAATTGAGATACGCATCTTAAAACTTCACAGTAAGGACTTGCTGGAGATTCATTGCTCTATTAGTCTAGTGTTTTCTATGTCTTAACCATTGAAAATTTGAGCAGGTAAGTGTTCGGCTCTGATCTGATTATGTTCTTGACCGGCTAATGCCAGTCCCAAGTTCCATACATAAAAACATACGGTCGAACTTACAAGGCTATACGACAATATATATTTTATTGTGTGCATGTATATAAATATATATGTAACTTGGTTCAAATGGGAACGTGATCTAATGAGATGAATGAGAGTAATATTATATGTGTATTACACTGAAAAAATGGAGGCATATATAACCTATTTGGTGCTCATGCAGTTTATCCACCGAAAGTGAAAGCCTTTGCGGCATCGGGATAATGATGATGGTGCTCATGCAAGTGCACTATTGCACGGCACCCACACAATAATTGCGCCACAAGTGATTTTCTATGTTTGTTAGCATCATCCTAGAATCTTGAGAGAAGTAGCTAGCTGAACTCCCGTGCCAAAGCTAACTCTCACACTGATGCATGAGTAAAGATGAAACAGTCATCACTTGGCCACTCAAGTTAGTCCTAGGAAGAGGGGACCCATGAAAAAGTCTCAATTTTAACTCCTTTGTGACTTTCAATCCAAAACCTCCCAGTATCTCACTTTAGATTCTCACATAGATAGAATCTAAAGCGTGAATCTATCATCCACTTAAATCACTTCCACTTGTTAGTTGTTAATCAATTTATATGGGAGACACACTTTTCTTGTTTAAATAGAAATAGCAATATTGCGCTTATTTCACACACAAAAATGGTCAATGAATTATTTTTTATGGATTGTTCTACTAAAATGTAAAAATAGTTTCATCTTCAAAATCTGATTTATTTAATAATTTATTTATATTGTTAAATTTGTTTCATCTTCAAAATCTGATTTTTTTTAGTAAAATAGAATTATATATACTAATGATCAAAGATGTGCATTAGCAAACATGAAAAGTTGACGATTGCATTAATTTAAGAACGGAGGTAGTATAAAGTTATAGAATAAATTGTTAGGTTTCATACTACAAAAGGTCTATTTGTACGCGCCCGTGTTTTGTCTTTACATAAATAATTTCGCTTTTGTTTTGTGTAGTGGATTGTGTGTAACACAAACAAATGTGACAAAAGTGACTTGTCTATGTAATAGACAATCAATTTCACAAAAATGAAGAAAAAGTTGTCTATGCGCAAACAAAACACGAGCTTTTACACGAAGCATTTATATTCATGCTATGTGACTGTCTTACAATTAAGTATTCAATTCAATAGGTGTTCGTGAAATGGGGATCGCTCTGTCTTGAGGAGGCTTTCATATTGAATTTATTTATGACATTTAAGCCTTGTTTGGTTGTAGGGTTTGAGATGGAAGGGAGTGATTTGTGTGTGTTTGGTTGAAGGAAATAGGGAGGAACGGGAGGAAAGTGGAAGGCTATCAAAATCCTTCACTTCCTCCCATTCTAAACCCCCAAATCAAGATATTTCGAAGGAAACGTGTTCATAACGACAAATCATCCATCTCCTACGTGAATGGACAAAACGTTACAATATAAAAAAGTAAAAAACAAATAGAAAATTAAAAATTTAAAAATTAAAATATTAAGAGATTAAAAAATTAAAAAAGTAAAAAATCAATAAATCAATTAAAAATATTATGACTCATGACCTTAGGAGGAGTAATATTTACAATAAGAGATGTATTTATTTGAAAAATATTTTCATTAATCCTTTCCTCCTATATCTTCCAACCAAACACAAATTTTTATCAAAATCCTTCCTTCCCCTTCCCTTTCCTTCCCTCCTTGATCCTCCCCTTCCCTCCCCTCCTTTGAACCAAACAAGGTCTTAGAAACATGTGATGAAACGTCAAATGGTAGTAAATGAATAATGTAAAAACATTTTAGATTATGAATATGTAATACACAACGTAGTTTGCTTGCTATACACGTGTAAAAAGAAAGCAAAAAGATTACAACAAAAATATGAGAAGGAATATCATCAAGGCCTGCAAAATTGCAAATAGCCATTCTGCTTCAAAATGACCATGCAATTCCACTTTAGCCTTCTCGACTTCGATTTCTTTCAATGGTGGACCGATTCGAATCGTTTTGTTTGTTATCATCACCTTTCTCATATTGCAGTGAAACCAAAAGTGCTATTTAGGAGTCATCATCTTCATCACAATTTTGCATGGCTAGGTAATCCAGGGCCGTAACTACGTCTGCTATGGCAGGCCGCAGGTCGGGGTCATCTTGAACACACATTGCTGCTATTGCAAGGGCTTGGTACAATCCTCTTAATGGGTATACCCCTTGTAACTTAGGATCAGCCATTTGCATGAACTTCTTCCGATCTTTGAAGAGAGGTTTCGCCTGGTGTCCACAGCAATTACTTTCTATTAATACTTTTGGTTTGATCCTCAAAAGTCAACTTCTCAGAATATATGTTAGTTTAGATTTCTATGACTTAACGTCTTAACTTGGCTGGAACATAATAGTAACCAGTTAGAGTAAATCAGTCTTGAAAGCGCTATATGAGAATGAAAACAAAACTACATTCATGCAACATATGTATGAATATACCAACTTGATCCTTCCTTTAGCAACCTTTTCGCTTTATGTTCCATAAGACCATAAGGAACACAGATAAAGAGTTTCTATTTTCAAGTAAGATTTAAATGGATACATAAATATTGAACTAATTGCGACATAGGTGGGAGGTTGAATCTCTTGGCTATGTTTGGAACACATAAAATTGTAAGGAAATCATAGGTCAAAATGGAATTAGGGAAGTCATTCTTTTTGTTTAGTTTTACCTTTAGAATGACAAAACGTTTAGTCATAATTACATCTACTTAATTACATAATTACATCTACTTAAAACCTTTAGTCTATACATAGTGGAAACATATAATAACATGAGTTTGAACAAATACTTAAAAAAATATTTTGAGTTTGAACCAATATTCTATGAAATAATTACAAATTTATGAGTTATGAGTAACATAAAAGGTGTTTACAAAAATGTGACTTATGTAGTGACTATATTAGTAACTTTAATCTTGGTAACTTATGTTCATTTTTTATACTTAAGTTACTATATTTACAGTAACTTTAGTCATATTTTTGCAAATAAATTTTATTTCAGTAATATTTAAAAAAAAAAAACTCATACATAGTATTTTGTTTACCTCCTATGTCTCCATTTTCTCATTACGTAGCATAAACCACTGGCAGTAAAGTGTTGAAAATTCAATAGAACTGGGTAAAATCAAAGGTATGGGCAAGCATCAGACACTTGAAATATAGAGGCTTCTCTTATTCCAAACGCTGGATTATTAAGAGCTAATTCCCACAAATAAGGGAATTCCTGGGAATTGGCTCCCTATCAAAACAAGACTCCAAAAAGAAGACCTTTAAGATGAGAGACAGCAATGCTCTTACCCATACAACAAGATTCAGCTCCTTTCCAGCTTTCGAGTTCTCAATTGCTCTCTTTCCGGTGATGATTTCCAAAAGCACAACGCCAAAACTGTAGACATCTGATTTAACAGTCAATTGTCCAGTCAATGCATATTCCGGAGCACAATATCCATAAGTACCCATTACCCTGGTAGACACATGTGTATTGTCTCCTACTGGCCCTAGCTTGGCCAGTCCAAAATCAGACAGCTTAGGGAAATACCCCTCATCAAGCAAAATGTTTGAGCACTTCAGGTCGCGGTATATTACAGGCGGGCTAGCTTTGTCATGCAAATACTCCAACCCTTTTGCAGCTCCGGCCGCAATTTTCATTCTTACATTCCAACCAAGTTGGCTTTTTCCAGGTACAGGATCTGCAGACGAGGAAAATAAATAATAAGGTTTTATACGTTGGAATCGAGTGGCTTGTTGGAGCTTAAAAAGCTGTGGTACCATATTATTACATGAGATTTCATTCCAAAAGGTTAACGAGGAATAATCCAAGGGTTTATATGTGATTTGTAAATTCATAAGTTTATAACTGATAGGTGTGGAATGACTTAGCTTAACACATCATACGTTGCACACCAAGAAAAGATAGAATGTCATCAACATCATTTACCCCAATGCCGCAAAGGCTCCCACCTATGGTGGGGTGGAGGAGGTCAGATGTACGCAATCTTACCCCTGTACTAAAGCACAGAGAGACTGTTTCCGGATGACCCATAGTGAAAATCGCGTCCAAAATTGCATGGACCGACCGTTGCTTCATAGCATACAGTTTAGTGAGCCATTTTGCTTTATTCCATCATATTCTCAAGCCAAAAAATAGTGAATCTTTGGCTCCATTGCAAATGATGGAACCAAGAAAAGATAGAATGTATGGATACAATATATATAGGGCATCCTTGGACTATTCCTTTTACTCTATCGAATCTTTTAGGATGGAACGTCAAACATTAATACATTTTATGTTGTGTGGATATGATGAATGTATTATAGTTGCACCTATAGTGATATAGAAACTAGAGAAGAGTATCTACCATGAAGATGATCTTCCAAAGATCCTAAGGGCATGTATTCATAAACCAGAAGTCTCTGATCACCATCAGCACAATAGCCAATTAGATTCACAAGATTGGGATGGTGTAATAGACTCAGCATCAACACTTCAACCAGGAATTCCCGGTTTCCTTGCAGCCCATTGCGGTCAAGTTGCTTTATGGCAACTTCCTACATCAAACTCAATGCTTTTAAATATCATGCATAGAGCAGTGAAATCTGTGAAATGCTAATTTATCATAACAGTTAAGCAATGATGAAATGAGTGTTGACTTTATATTTAGTAATAAAAAATAAAAACTTGAGAATGTCCGGGATCAGTTCAGTCAGCAATGAATAGATGAATAAGTTTGAACTTCTCCCATTCAGAAACAAGTTTCTTTCAGAGAATGGTTTAGCAGATTGTGTGACGAACTGATAATGAATGTGTGGTATTCTGTAAATCTGTTTTAACACTCCATTTGTTTGCTAGAAAATATTTGATGTTTTAGGATTTCCATGTGCGATAGAAACATTTTCTGAGAATTCTAGCAATGGAAATATTCTTCTTGATTCGTTATGGTCTGTTTGGAACACATAAAATAGGAAGGAGCTCATAGAAGCAAATACAAAGGAAAGAAAATGTGAAAAATAAAAGATAGGCTAAAACTTAATAAATTTAATTCATATGTTTATTTTATTTATTTATAAATTATATAAAAAATAGCAATATAAATATAAAAAGAATTTAGAAAGAAGAAAAAACATTCATTCTTTGCATTTTCTGCAGCAATACCAAACATAAGAAAACAATGTGTCTTTACATTTGGTTTCCTTTCTCTAGCATTTTTGGGGATCCAAACATACCCTTAGAATTTGAGGAAAACGGCTCCTTCTTTTAAAATTTTCCCACATCAGGATCAAACGTTATATTATACAAAAAACATCTTAATTTTCATGAAACCATTTTTGTAGATAATATTGTTGTCCACAATTTGTTTTTTTCTGGAAAGCTAGCAGATAATGATAATTCACAAGAGTGCAATCCATGAGCTAATCTCATAATAATCTGTGGATTACTCCTAACGCAACATCAGGCATCTGCTTTTTGCAAATGTATCAGTAAAGAGTTTTATTCATTTCCCTCTTAAACTATCCATCTTACATGAGTTGACTGAGGCTAAAGACAATCAAATCTCTAACAACAATACTAAGGGTCTGTTTAGAAGCAGTAAATAACTACAGAAAGAAAATACAGTGAAAATTTGGGGAAAGAACTGATTGTAACTGAATAATTCAATTTTACATATTTTTTCAAACTAATTTTATTTATATAACTTTGTTGTATCAAGAGGTAGAAATACAGAGTAAAAAATGGAGTATAAAAAATCCCAAAGGGTGTCAAAAATGCAGAGTATAAAAATATATGTAAAACTATAAAAGGTATTGATCAAACTTAACTTTCCTGCGTATTTTCCTAGTTGGAAAAAAAGAGCGTAAAACTGAATAAATCCTAAAAGAGTTAGATAAGAGTAAGGGGGTGTTTGGATCTGATTCTTAAAATTGATTTTGGTGTTTGGATAAAGGTGTAGAAGTGATTCTGATGCTTTAATTTACTCCTAGAATCAGTTTTTTACAAGATGGGGGAGAGCAGCTTGTCAAAACTGATTCTGATTCTGATTCAGCTTTAAAAAAGAAGCAAAAGCAGAATCAGTTTTAAACACCCCTAAAACTTCATCAGTTTTGTATTACACAGAATAAATCCCAAAAGAGTATATGTAAAGCTTCAAAGGTTTGTATCAAACTGAATAAATCCCAAAAGAGTTCTAAATACAAAGTATTTAAAAATATATGTAAAACTTCAAATGGTTTTTACTTTTTACCAAACTCAACTTTCCCAGTTTCCTGCATATTCTCCTAGTTGAAAAAAAGGAAACTATTTTCCCGATTCCAAACATAGCCCAAAGGTGTAAACACATGTTATTAATATTGTGTATACATTTCTATTGTTGTGAGACTAAGAAATACAAAGTACAGAGTATAAAAATATATGTAAAACTTCAGATAATGAACCAAAAACTAAATTAAAAAGAAAAAGAAATATTTTCCTTATTCCAAATATAGCCAAAAGGAATAAACAGCTGTTATTAATGTCCCAATTATTTTGGGGGTATAAAGTGAACCTGGTTGGAATCGAGCCGCCCTCTATATACCCTTCCAAAACCTCCTTCCCCTACAAGACAATCGCCTCTAAAATTTTTACAAGCAGCCGCTAATTGACGGAATGTAAAAGTCTTTCCAGGAATTTGTTCGGCTTCTTCATCCTTACCACCTGCGTCCTTAAACTTCAATCGACTCTTCGGCTTCGACTTATCTGTAAAAGAAACCCAGCAAAAAATGACGAACCAAACAGACCCAGAATTTTTTAAGTAAAACCCAGACCCATTCGTATATAATTTAAGCTGTAGTGCATGAAAGAACACAGCTTTGATGAATTCACAGGGAAAAAAGATGCTGAAAGTAGCAAAAGTTGCAGGATGAGTTGAATAAAAAAACTGATGTATTTACCAGAAGGATGAGAAGCAGTTCCTGGACGTCTGTTCTTGTTTGAAGATTCTCCGGAGCATAGAAACCAACCCATCTCTTCTCCGATTAATGTGGAGAGAGGGAGGAAAGTGCGGTAAAAGGGGTAAACCCAAAAACGAGAAGAATTATGTATCCAAGAAAGGCATAAAAAGTTACTTGGGTCAGAGTATAGACTTGGTCTTCATGTCCATCATCTAACATTTCTCTTTGTTCTCCTGGAAGCTTTTCAACTCTGTACAGTGTAACAAAGAATACTTTTCTTAAATTGCCGAATCGTGATTCGTGAGTCGTTGTCATAATTAGTCCCATCCCAACATTTTTAGTGTCCTAAAATCTTTGCACAAATTTTAACGCAAATTATACCGTGGGATCGGCCCACCGTGTGCACGGTGTGCCGATCCCAAGCGGCGCCGTTTTGATTCATAAATATCACTCACTTCCCTTCTGATTTCTAAAGGCCTACCCTAGCAGATTCGATTTGGAGCCGGAAGAAGCCATCACCAGATCCCGATTCCTAGTGAGCCGCCCACCTGTATCAATTTCTTTTCCGCAAGTTTTGCTCGATGGTCGAAGTCTGGAAGAGAAAGCTATATCAATTTCTTCTCTGCCTATCTCTGCTCCCAACCGCCGATCTATTTGAAGCTTGGGCCGCCTCTAAAGCATGGGTTGGGGTTTTGGCTTTTTGCATCGGGGAGAGCCATCCTTGCCCTATCCAAATCCAAGCTATTAAAAACGATTTCAAGTCTTACAAGTTACAACGTAGGTGATGAGAAGGGACAAAGGTGTTTTCTGAGAAGAACAAAAAATAAGTCTTGCAACGTAGATTTGGCTGAAGTCTCTTGAAACATAGATTTGATTGGCTTAAAAAAGTTAAATTTTTATTAAAGAGATTTACATTTCGGTTTATATGAAGTTACGTATCTATTAGCGTGAATTACATTTCGATTTTTTTAATGAGTTACATTTTGATTACACGTGATTTACATTTGACATACTGCGAGTTACACCACAAAACAATGCGGGTTACACAACAAAATACATCTATGTTGTTCAATCAAAAATGATTTTCTTATTAACAATCATTTTTAATTGCCGTAATATTAAAAACAAAACATGTACGCAATTTATGTAAAATAATTGAATAATTAGGCTCCTTTTTTCCATTAAACATGAGTTACATTTCAGGGCACAAGTTACATTTGTTGTTAACTGTAGTTACATTTGTATCAAAGCGAGTTACATCTAATTATGCACAAGTTACATCATTCATGTTACTGGGACGAAAAAAATGTATACCCGTGTACTGTTCACGCGTGTACTGTTCACGCGATTTTTTATTATTATAAAAATGATTAAAACTACATCGTTTTGGGGTGTGGAGCATGGTGCTCACCGTGGGATGATACCACGATATAAGAACTGAAATTTTAATTATATATACTCCAGCAGTTTTTATTTTTTTCGTATTCTATACTCAAATTAAAGTAGGTACGAATATCCTATGAGGTGAAAGGAGTATGAGATAAATTTGATCAAAGTTTATGGGATGAATATTGGACTGTCATTTATCAAAAAATTATCCCATCCAATTGGAGATTGCAATCTTTTTTTTAAACGAAAACTGATGGATTATATTAGAATCCCAGTCCGTATACCCTAGTACCCGGCCCACCTTGGGCATCCTACTCCCTCGCCTAAACGATGCAGTATCTAATAATTAAAAAAAAAACGCGCACGCACGCGAATCAACGGCAACTCCCTCTCTTTGCCACCTTTTCCCTCCAGACTCTTTTCTTCATAACAGTAGTCCTTACGAATTCCAAAAAAAAAACGGTGCAGTCGTGCAGAAAGAGTTCCCCATTTTTACTTTCATTTACATTTTGAAGAAAGTTACGAACCATCTCTACGAACAAGCACTTGAGGAGCTCCATATTTCTGCGAATAAGAAGAAGAAATTAAGTAAGGCATTAACACCATCCAAAGCATCTGAAGATACGAGCCAGATTCGAGATGGTTAGGGTTAAAACCAGGTATAAACTATAACAAACAGATCGACGATTAAACAATGCGATTAACACATTTATTTTCAAAATATGTTTATTTTGATGTTAAATATGTTATTGTTATGTAAATATCAACATGCATGTAACTTTGAATATGTGAGTAATGTAATCTTAGTTTCATATTGTGAATCTGCATAATCTGACTACATTTTAAATGTCAGATTACGTATTTGAAGCGGTTTTCCTTTATGATTTACACAAATGGGCCGGTCCTGGGGCATAGGCAGGAGGGGCATGCGCCCAGGGCCCTTTGCTCCAGTAGGGCCCATAAATTTCTCAAATATGTGTGTGTGTGTGTTTATGTACATCACTATTTTAATTATATGTACATCCTAAATCTATAAAAGGTAAAATATAAAATCAAACTTATATTTTTTAGATACTTCTAATTAGTTATTCAGCATCTACACGATACAAGTCTATAATTTTGAAACATCCCCATTAGAATTCATTGAGAACATATTTCACCATTTCTTTTGAATCATTATATTATGGATTATTGCATTAATTTTATTCTTTTAGTGTACATGTCTTATGTATATCCAAAACTTATTGATATATTTCACAAATTTCCTCCGATTCTCTAATTTAGTGAAAGATTGAACTTTAGTGTCCATAATTTAGAAACGTAGAATTTGTTTTTGTCTAGTGAAAATGTGATCTAAAATATGAAAAAGTTACTCCTAATTATACAAGATATAATTTCACAGCTTTCCTTAATTTAAAATTTTTATTGCACCTAATAGTTGCACTACTTGTTTCACTTGGCTCTTAGGTACATTGTATCCTCAAATGTCACTTATCAAATACCCTATATATATTTTCTAACCATGTGCTTTGTTAGTTTTTTTGATGTGTTATACTACTTTTGGACGGTAAAATTGTATAATTTTAAATTATAGATTATTATAGCAAAAAGAACATTATAAACATTCCTCCGCTATCCTTGAGGCCCAGTCTATTTGTATTGTCCCGGGCCCATAAAATGTCAAGACCGGGCCTATACACAATATGAACTATGCAAAATGTATGTTATCAGGTGTAATATATTAGGGAACACAGTGTTGAAAATAAATTGATTTTGAAGTTGTTTGATGTATTTGCAAATGTACTTGCCTCATCCATGTACATTATTAAGTAAGTAAACTCGTGTGGCTCAGTATATTGTTGCAAATAATTACAGTCAAATTGCTTGTGAAAGATGTAAGAGTGTATAGAAAGTAAAATTCAGTGTATGGTTATGTAATTTGATCTTAATAGAATGTAATTGTAACCAAGTGCAGTGTAAATTGTTCAACTTCTTGTCAATCAGTAGTTATGTAACATTCATATAATAATATGCAACTTGTGTGCATTAGTTTGTAACTGTAACCAAGTGCAGTGTAAATTGTTCATCTGTTTGTGAATCATGTAAGTTTTCTTAGTAGTTATGTAACATTTATATAATAATATGCAACTCGTGGGAAAAATTATGTAAATTCTTTTTCATAAAATATTGAAAATGCAAAAAGGGAGTGTTCAAATGTATTTATGGGATGTAAAGTTTCCTTAACAACTATGTAAACCGTGTACAACAACATGTCAGTCAAGTATAAATCTTAATGTTATTTTGTATGACAGTAGGAATACAAGGAGTGCTACAGCTGCAGAAAATGACATTCCTGAAAGGGAAAATCAAGACGAAGTTCTTAGGACAGGACACGCAGAAGAACCAATCCTAATGCTAGAGTATCATAAGCCAGAAACAAGCAAAAAAAGAAAAATACCTCCAAAAAAGAAAAGGGAAGTACCTGAAGAATCAAATGATGAAAATGAAGAGCAAGAGAGAAGCAACAAGTCTAGTTTTATCAACCTTAGAACAAGAGTAGGACCATCTCCTTTCCTTAAGTTGATTAAACTGCTAGATGATGACAAAAAGGCAGCAGTGAAGAGGATTGGCTTTGGAGGCTTACTTCATCTCAGCTTTGATCGATTCTATGGAGACTTTGTTGAGTTTCTGTTGAAAAATTTCATACCAATTTCAGGACAACTGCAACTCACAAACGGTGAGTTACTAGATATTGAAGATCAAGATGTTAGAGCAGTATTTGGTTTGCCAATGGGGAATATTAAGAAGCCAATGGCAAAAATGACACTGAAGAATACAATGAAGTACTAAAACTGTGACACCGCACCCGGGTGTACTTGAATTTGAAATTCAATATGTATTTGAATTTTCTATGTGAATATTTATGTGTGCAAGAACGGTATGTTTAATTAATGAATGATTAATTAAATTATTTAACAGGTCCATAATATTGAGAAAGGGCTACCGAATATTTAGTTGGGTCATCATAATAATTATAGGAGTCCAATAAAATGCCAACCAAAGTTGAGGAAAATGTTTGGGCAGCCCAAGTGTTATTTTGACCAAACCTGCCAGAAATAGCAGGAATAATTGGGAGGGACATCCTACACCCACTTGGGGTATTTTCCTACATGTCTTGTAGACTCTAAATAATCAAATTGAGACAATTTGATATGGGAGGTGCGGACTTATTGAGTGAAGGGATGTTTGGGGACATGGGCAAGTTTCCTAAGGCCCTACTCCTCATATAATTGGAGCTAGTTGGTGTGAGGATACTTCACCCCTATCACCTTTGCATCACTCGACCAAACCAAAGGAGGAGAAGCCTTGGAAGAGCTCTCACAACCAGCAAACTTGGAGGAAGGAGGAGGATAGGAAATCCAAGAGAAAATAACAAGGAAGCAAGGTAAGAACTCAAATAGTTCTTTTAACTAGTATTATTTTTGTATGATTTTTAAGGGAATCATATGTGGATTAAACCATGAGTTCTACACATTTAAAAGTGTATTATATTGATATAAAGTGGTGGTATTTAACTTAGAAGAGTCGTGGAATCGATAGGAGTTGAAACCGCCGGAAACCGCCATTGTTGGGGACTGTTTTCGAGCTGCAGGCCGAAAGCCGCCCACCTTTTGCAAAAGCCGCCCGGCTTTTGTCTGCTGTCCAGAATTTTCACTTCCAATCGGCCTAGAACGGGGATTGATCAAAGGGCTTAGCAAAGGCAACTAGTTGAGCACATCATAAGGTGAGGATGGCTGACTATATTGTTTATAACTAGTGGGTTAATTCATGAGATTACCTAATGTTATAAAAGCATGATTT